ATACACATTTGTGTATGTGTGTGTGTGTGCGTGTGTCTTTAATGCTGAGTTCTATAGGAGCTATGGTGGCACAGTGGTTAGAATGCAGTATTGCAGGGTAATTCTGCTGACTGCCAGCAGTTCAATTCTCATTGGCTCAAGGTTGTATTAGCCTTCTATCCTTCTGAGGTCAGTAAAATGAGGACCTAGATTGTTGAGTGGAATATGCTGACTCTGTATACTGCTTACAGAGGGCTGTAAAGCACTGTGAAGTGGTATATACAGTAAGTCTTTCCATCTTATGTAGCAAAACTTGATTTGATTTGTGTGTATGTGTGCTTTTAAGTTAGTTTTGACTCTTAAGAATTGCCTGGATAAGTCCCTGCAGTCTTCCTGGCAAGATTTCCTGAGTGGTTTGCTATTGCTTCCTTTCTCGGTCTGAGAGTGACTGGCCCAAGGTCCCCTAGCTGGCTTTCTGGTTGCAGGAGGACTAGAACTTATGATCTCTTGATGCCTTAACCGTTCCACCAAACTAAGTCTCATTAACTGTAATACACTGTTTACACTTTTTTTCTAACTTTAAATTGTAAGTCTCACTTAGAATTAAAACACCTGAGTTTGCAGCTCAAAATACTGCATATTGAAAACAGGGAAGTTTTCAATGGAACCGTACAATTTTAAAACAGGTGTAAAAATGTCACTTTGAGGTGTTTTTTTTAAAGAAAGATCTTAATTTTTAAATATCTATGAAGATTCTCAGTCATCCGGGTCATAGTTATCCCAAAGTGCTTTTTCAAGAGGAAACTGGACTTTCTGATATTTTTTTTGAATATATTTTGCTTCTCATCCAAGAAATAAAATGTCTTTTTTTAAAAATGGAAAGTTCAGTTGCCTGTTGAAAAAGTACTTTCAGGACGTCTTAATTTTTAGTTGCTTTTCTCTTAAGGAAATATTTCTCTACATAGTGGAATATGTTTGTAAGTTAATTTAAGAAAAGTCAGCCCACATTGCAATTAGGAATGTAATTGGATTCAGTTTTGTGCTTGTTCTTATGTCAAAGCCTGTGCAAGTTCTTTAAATGCCAAGGCTGGTGGATTCATTCCTTTGTGTTTTAATTCTGAATCCTGTGGAGAAAGTTGCCTCCTCAAAAAAAAAAAATAAAGCTTTTCAGAAATTATTTTTTCTGTGTTTTCATGCTCTTACTGTGTAGTGAGACTGCTGTTTGAGACAGCTTTTCCCAGCAACGAAGTTTTAAAGCTTCTTTATTGAGCATAGCCATATGACATTGAATTATGATATAATTTTGTTTTGAGTGCCTGTTCCTTAGCGATCAATCTATAGCAGGGGTGTCAAACTCGGTTTCATAGAGGGCTAACTGCTAATTAAAAATAAGATTTCAAGTCTGTTTGGCAACTCTTTATAATATACATTAAGCATGTCCTGTAATTTATCCACGTTATCTCTCTATATAAAATAACATAGAATTAGTACTGTCTGTAACAATTATCTTTTGAGGATTTTCTTCAATTAGTTGTAATTTTAATATTTTGGGTAATATAGAATTCTGTTGAACTTATTATATCTAAAAGTGTAATGTCTAGTGTTTGTCTAGTGTTTACTAGACAAATTGGTTCCACTTTGTGTCTGAACAAAAAACAGTTCCTGAAATATATTTGCACTTAGCTGCAAAAACAGAAACATTAAAAAGCAAAAGTGTGTCGATTTTTTCATGCCATGTTATTCCTGATTAAAGCAGCATCTCATTCCAATTTAATTTTCAATGTGAATGTTAGTGAAAAACATTTTTAATAAAACTCCTGAAATTGAGTCTTAAACTTAGAATTTACAAGTAAGAAAGAATGGGTGTCAGTGTACATCTGTGTTTTATTCAGCTGCTTACACTTTGAAACGAGGAACAGGTTTAAAGCATGAAAAGACCCTGTTCTTTTCCTTGAGTTTCCAGGTCCATTCCTGCAGAGAGCAAAATAGAGATTTTGTTATATTATGATGAACAGATGTCGTGCCAACACTTCATTGCTGGCATTGCTGGCATAGATGGCTGGTTTCCACAATAGAGATGGTGCTCAAAATGTTACTCAGCACTATGATGTTTACAGGTCTACCAGATTGTGGGTGGGCCAAGTGCCTTCCATTCAAAAGTCTGAGAGAATAGGCAGCCAAATGACTCTCGGCTGTGACTACGAATAGCCAAGAACGAAAATCAAAGACCTCTGCAACTACGTGGAGTATTTTGGCACTCTTATTACTCCAATGAGTAGATTTTTCAACAGACTAAACAGCAGGGCAAAGGGCTCCTTGCCAGAATTGAGTTGGTTGTGGGGATAGAAAATTAATTCTTAATTCAGAAGAATAGCTGCATTAATCTATAGCAATACAATAAACCCCAAAGATTGTTATATAACTTCAGAAACAAGGTGGTTGATTAGGCAACAGATCTAGCAGGTTTTAACTTTCACTTTCAATTCCAGTTCATGGCAGGGGCTAAAAAGATGTATAGTGGAAGGGGTGTCTGTATGCACGCATATACATATATACATGTATATACATATTTTCTTTATATGCTGAAGATCTTGTTAATTTATAGTTTTGGTTCCAAATATTCAATTGGTGCTTCAGTATATAGTTTTTATAGTGAAAGAAACTACAATAGTTTTTCCTAGCAGCATTTTTTTAAAAAAATAATCAAAATCAAAATGAAGAAACATTAATGATGATTTCATTCTTTCAAGAACCACTGAAATTCAGCCTTTTATTTTGTCTGTGAATAGTTTTGTATCTTGGATGGTTAAAACTCTGCACCGAGGAATATGTGGAAGTAAAGAAAAAAACAAAAATGATATGAAGAATTATTGTTTAATTTTTCTCTCAAGACAGATGGTGATACTCCCTTAGGAATGTTCTTACCAGCTCCACTTTAAGTTATAAACAATTTCTCCAGCATCTGCTGAGCAACCTGCTACTCAGATAACACCCTGAAGGGTTTTTGTTGAAGGAGATGTTTTACAGAATACCCTGAAGAGAGAAGGGACACATCATTGAATTTAAAATGCCAAAGAAAATCTGGAATCCACAATTCAGAACATGCAGGAATGCAGGCCTACATGCAATATTGAAAGCTAAGATTAGATTAAAAATCAGCAAAATGGCTAGAAAGAAAAGTAGACCGACCAGTGATGAGTTTGTTTCTGAGCCCAACGAGTTATATATAAAATATAAACTACTTGATGTTTCATCATTCAATGATGAGTAAAATCTGTATTTATCAGCTTCCTCCACAGAAAAAAATATTGTTTGGGGAGAGAGGATAGCTGATATTATAAGAGTTCTCTAGAGCTTTGGATTGTGAGTTCTTTTCATCATGCTGGATTTCTTCACTTAACATTGCAGCTGTTGGATCTCATATCTTGTCTATATGAATGTACTCTGATTCATAGTCTTCAAATTGCCAAAATAAATTCTTTTCTTTCAAAAGCCGATTGGAAGCTTGGTGAATTTTTGTTAACATTCTGAATTTCTACTGTTGTCAACATGTGTTAAATAATTACATATTATTATGCCAAATTAAATTCAGGCTTGACAATTAATTTCCTACTAAAATATACATACCCATGACTTGTAGAAGATTATGAACAGGTTTTAAGATCAGAAGGGGGAAGAGAATCTTAACATTTATTTCCTTTTGTGTGTATCTGTGTATATGTTTCATTTGCATTTAGAAAAAAATATGAAATAAGCTGAATGTTTATAAGACATGGAGTTACTACCACATGAAACCTCCTCTCACTTTGCAGTGTTTTTAACATTAAGAACACGTCATGTCATTCTGTGATGTGTTTCTTTGTACACATCTGTTAAAAGAAAATGTAGAATACAGTGACCATGTTGTATTTTCTATAGATGTTACAAGCAAGTAATGGAAGAGGTCAGTTCTAAAAAATACTTTCCTGGCTCTCATTTTCGAATGTTAAGGCCAGATCTATTTTTTTTTTACTGTCCTTCATTCAGCAAACAAGATATTTAAGTCTTTAGGATACTTATCATGTATTTGTCTATGCTGCTGTGAATCTATAGCAGTAGCTGAAGATACCTGACATTTATAATGAAACATTATAAAATAAAATACTAACATTACCTTCAGAAACAGTCAAAGAACCAAAAAGATCAGTAGGAAGAGATTTCCACAGTTACAATAGTATTCAGAAAGCTTTAGAAGCTAATTCCCTTCAAGGCTGCCTGAATTTCAGGATGAAAAGGTTAGGATGATCTTAGACAAGGCACTACCAAAAAGCTTCCGCTTTTCATAACAATCAAGGAAATATAATTGCTTAGCACATTCAAAACAATGTGTTACATCATTTATAAAATGATATAACCATGCCAGGAAAGTTACAAATCTTGGAATATTCTGTACTATGTAACATCCATTATTGATTATCAGTGTTAATGTATACTTAATGACCACATAGATGGATTTGCTCAAACATTTTAGAGGTGGAGAAATGAAGCAGATACTCTATGTTTTAAATTTGTTGGAGACCTCACCCCAAAGTTTACATCAAATACAGTATCTTTGTGCCAACCATAAAACAGCAAAATTTGAACTGTTTTTGAAGTAGTTATATCATTATGTAAAATAATGAAGATAATATGGAATCAGCCTTTTCCTCCAGACATTACTGAGAATAAAACCAGAATTTATATTGAAAGCAGTATTTCACAAGATCTCATGCAAAGTGGAAACAATATATTTGATTTGACTGCAACTTCCTTAATTTCTCCAAAATTCTTACTAATAACCAATGAATTATTTTTCATTACAGGTTTAACATGTTTCCTTTGACAAGCATCAAATGTAGCCTGTCCACGAACCATTTGTATATTCTTGCTAATGATCTGATTATTCTTAAATTGTATGGTATAAACTTTATCAAAGTATGCATATGAGAAAGCTTGCTGGTAAGTTAGTAAACTTCTAACCACACTGCTATGTTTCCATCTAGAAATTCGAGCTCAGCTAATAGAACAACAAAAATGCCTGGAGCAGCAAACTGAGATGAGAGTGCAGCTTCTTCAAGACTTGCAAGACTTCTTTCGTAAAAAAGCAGAAATAGAAACGGAATATTCACGCAGTCTTGAAAAGTTAGCTGAAAGGTTCATGGCAAAAACAAGAAGTACTAAAGATCATCAACAGTACAAGTAAGCTGAGGTTCCTTGTACAATTGAAGGCTTAACTAATTTTCAGAATAGCTGTGCAATCAACCATCGTTTGTCAGACAATTTTAAGAGTTTTTTTTTGCACTCAGCCAATTTTTCTAAAGACATCCTAACCTTTTTAAAAATAGATATTGTACATGAAATATGAATTGTGATTAAAGAATGACTCCTAAATTATGATGTGAAACAAATCATCTTATTTTGGTCTCATAATCTGGTTATTAATATTGTACTCTAGACCTAACGAGGTATGGCGAAGAAAGTATCTGAAAACAGTATTTCCTAGGCAGATTATTCAGATATGTGATTTGTTCCTAGACTATGTCAAGTTAGATTAATACTATGAATCTGAATACAATTCATTTGTTTTCATTTGAGAGTTGCATATTTGTTTAATTTCAATGTTGTTTATTAAAATAGCAACATTTACCCTTTTGCATTTTGATTTTTAATTGCATCACTTGAGAATTTGGTGATTTCAACTATTTCCCTCCCTTACAAATCTTGGAATATTCTGTATTCTGTACTATGTAGTGTCCATGGTTGATTATCAGCGTTCGTGTTAGTAACCACATAAATGAATTTTCTCAAGGAGGAAATAAACATTTTAGGGGCAGAGAAATGAAACAATATTCTATGTTTTAAATTTGTTGGACATCCAACCCCAAAGTTTATGTCAAATACAGTGCCTTTGTGCCAACTAAAAAACAACAGCAAAACCTGAATTGTTTTTGAAGTAGTTATGAAGATTAACATAGAATCATTTTTTCCTCGAGACATTACTGAGTATAAAACCAGAATGCCTCTGCTTGTTCCACTTTTTGTGCCACCTAGAGAACAGCTTTTCCAGTTTTATTATTAGCTTCCCACAAGGGATGTCCTCTCCCTGAATTATATCCTATATTTCAAGCTACAGCTCTAAACTGTAAACACTAAAGCATACCATCTGGACAGGGCCTTATTCACCATTGTTTGTTGACTTCCTGCATATATATGTGAATGCTACTGATAAAAGCAGATTTACAGAATAAATACATATATGTTACTTTTTAAAAATGTAATATTTATTTTAATATTTATTTATGCCTGTATTTAAAAAAAATGTAAACTTAATGTCTGGTTGCAAACTTATGGCCTTTAAAAAGTTTAAAATCTAAACTGTCCTTAAATATCCACTGGAAGGCTTTACTGTTCTTTCAGAATGCTAATTTTCAGCATTGAAAGGGTACTTAATGAATGTTAAGATATAATTCACACATAAATATAATCCTGAAAATGCTGGATTTGTTAATTATTGATATAACGTAATGGTTGCAAATGTTTTAATTAAACTAAATAAAACACCAATGGTGCCTGCAATTGATATGAACTATATAACATATGTATGCTTACTAGGAAAGACCAGAATCTGCTATCTCCAGTAAATTGTTGGTATTTATTACTCAACCAAGTAAGAAGAGAAAGCAAAGACCATGCGACACTGAGCGATATTTACCTGAACAATGTCATCATGCGTTTTATGCAGATAAGTGAAGATTCCACGAGAGTGTTCAAGAAGGTATAATAATGTTGTTTCTTTCATTTCCAATGAAATAGAATAAAAGACATAATTTGAAAGCAAATACTCTGCAGGAGATTAGTAATTGACTTCATTATGACATTTTTCACTATAAATATGGAGAACAGGCTTTTTTGGTGAAAGTGACAAGAATATACAATTTTAAATACAGAAAAGCTAAATATGACATGCTTAAGTATACTGTGTTATCTTCAAAAAAGAGAAGCTAGTCTATGGATAACAAATCTAAGGCAATGTACAAGATAATTCTATTATTTTTTAATATTTGGGAGGAGTTACATTTTAATGAAAAAGAAAACTTATCAATCTTGCTAAAAACTCCACCTTAAAAAACTGCAATGAACTTTCTAAATTCTTTAGGTCATTCTTGAGGATAAAACAAAGGATATTGAAAAATCACATCAGAGGATGAGTTTGTCTAAATTAGGAATGTGGTAATGATCTAAAATTCTGTACTTCTTACTTTAATTATAGGAAGTGAACTGTAATTAACTATGCAAGCTCACTTGCATAGTTAATTACATTATTCTGTGCCTTCCATTTTGACAAATTCTATCAGCTTTTATAATAATTTGTGTTTACTAAGGAAACATTTTGAGATGATAGCATGTTCATAAATATTTCAACCAGAACTTAGTTTTTAAAGATATATTTTGCTTTCTGTTTTAGAGATACATGGAAGAATAAGCATTTTCACAGAGGTTTGCACTCTTTGCCCTGTCAGATAAATTATCTCTAAAAATCTATTGAACTTACTGTTTAGTTATGTACCATTTACCTTAACTTATGGAAAGGATAACTAAGGGGAGATATGGTAGAAGTCTTTAAATATCTGTAGAGTTGAAACACAGAAAGAGTGATCTTATTTTTTATATTGAGAATACAGGACCAGATTAAAACTACAAAGATATATGTAGGTTCAGTATGAGAAATTTCCTGACTTTACAGAAATATTAAGCAAATGAAAGTGGTAAGTTCTCCAACAATGGAAGCCATCAGACAAAAGCTGAATAACCATCTAAAGATCACTAATGGAATTGAATAGGTGGTTGGATCACATTTAAGGATGTTTCCCACAATATGATTTGACAATAAGTAATTAAATCCAAATTTATGTAACCTGGGCTGTTTCTTCTCAGAGGTTTCACACAGTTACTAAGATCTTTTAGATACCCATCAGGGTAAAGTAACAACAAATTAACATTTTGGATGACAGTTGTATCTATATTTATTTGGGAGAAAGCTTCATTGTACTCAGTGGAATACTAAAGATGTTTGTTAGGGTTTGAGGATTAACCCCTAGAAGAGTATTGCAGCAGTAGT